AGAGAGAGAGAGAGAGAGAGAGAGAGAGAGAAAAGGTCCAAAGAATGTGTCAAATGAATGATACCCCTTACTCCTGGCGCCTTAAGAAGTCCCCGACGGCTTCTCCCTTTTTGTTTGATTTTGTCCCTTGGTGTCTGACATGACCACCTGGATGATTCCTACCTATGCATGCTTCGATTGCGCCCCAAGACTTAGAATTGGTCCCATGAGCGTCTTCAAAAGCTGTGCCACGGTTAGCCTTGTTTGTTGTGCTGCAGATATTCTTTTGTGCCTGACGTACCCATCGTTCAAGATCCTGTTCGTTCTCGTTGAGTTTCTTGTACTCTTCATCGAGGCGTTCTGTTGGTTGAAAGTATTCGTTAGCCTTTCGCTCATTGGCATACGGTGGCCTGTGTAACATGAAGACGACTTACGGGTAGTACAGAAGAGCACGTCCTTGAGAACGGGGTCATCCCTAAGCTGGTTGAGAAACCCCTCGGCAGCCTTGTCGTTGCCGATCTGGCTTATTTGAAATCGAACGGCTGTTTTTGCTGTGTTAGCACTGGGGGTTGATTCACGCCTGAGGTGGTTTTATGACATACTTGTGGGCGGGTAGTTGTGTGCCTTGAGAAAATCAAGGCATCTGACAATTGTATCCCTAAACTCCGATTCGTTTTCATGACTGGCACAGCCGTCTGTGATGCAAGAAACAAGAACTGGCCTTGGAAGCTTGTCTCCTCTGTTGATGACGTTGTAAACAAGAGGCTTGAGAATCTTCCGCTCGAGATTGGTGCCGATCATAGTCACGCCGTTCGGCTTCACCGATTCCATGATCTGTTCGACTTCTGTTGCCTTGAGATTATCGCCTAGCGCATGCTTCTTGTTGATGAACTGCAGACCCGTTCCGCAGTCGTCAGGCACCAGCATTGTAGAGATTCGGGCAACTCGTCGAACAAGGCGGATCTGGTCGCGAGCACGAGTGCCATATCTCATGGAGGTGCTGTCATCTGGAGAGATCAATATTAATTAGCATGTATATCTTGTTGGATCAGACATCCGGAGGGATGAGGAGGGGTGAGAAGGTCATGGTTCGACTTACCGCAATAGAAGACGGGCTGATAGAGTGCAAGCTTGGTAACGTCCTGAATGTCTTCCTTGGAGTTGAGCACCTCGTCCACCTTGCCCTCGAGCTCAGCTGCTTTTTTGGCGACGTCTTCCAAGAATTGGTCGCCTTCCTCGAAGAAGAAGCCCAAGCCAGTCTCGCTGATGAATTTCATCATGCTTGCCTGGAACTGCTGCGGCGTTGTCTTTGCTGAAATCTCCGACACAAGAGGGACATTCTCAACATCATCTTCATCTTTTGGAATTGCCAATGTGCTGAAGTCAAGGGCGTCTGCGGGTCCGCCAGTA